TATTTGTAAGTAGATTCAGGGAGATTGTCTCTGTGCCGTAAAAAAAATCACATAATTATAAAAGAATCTTGCAAATTGATTAATTTTAATTGTTTGTTGTGAAATTGTTTTAAAACAGAAATTTCTTAAAATGAATTGGCCAGAAATATTTTTTTCTTAGAAAAAAAACTCATTATGCAGGATTTTATATAAATTTGAACTTTGGTATCAAGAATATTGAACAATTGATATTTCGAATACCAAGGATATGTTGAAGTGATTTGGAAGTCCTAACCACTTTTTTATAAGTATCTTGAATCTTTGGATATCTCTTAGTTTTCTAGCTCCTATCCAGTTACCGATAACAAGGTCTGACTGTGTATTTTTTTAGCTCACCTGAGCCGAAGGCTCAAGTGAGCTTTTCTGATCACATTTTGTCCGTCGTCCGTCCGTCTGTCCGTCTGTCTGTAAACTTTTCACATTTTCGACTTCTTCTCAAGAACCACTGGGCCAATTTTGACCAAACTTGGTACAAAGCATCCTTGGGTAAAGGGGAATTTAAATTGTTAAAATGAAGGGACATATCCCCTCGCAAGGGGAGATAATCAAGAAAAGACAAAAATAGGGTGGGGTCATTAAAAAATCTTCTTCTCAAGAACCACTAGGCCAGTAAAGCTGAAACTTATGTGGAAGCATCCTGGGGTAGTGTAAATTCTAAATTGTTCAAATCATGACCCCCGGGGGAAGGGCGGGGCCACAATGGGGAATCAAAGTTTTATATAGAAATATATAGGAAAAATCTTTGAAAATCTTCTTCTCAAGAACCACTGGGCCAGAAAAGCTGAAACTTATGTGGAAGCATCCTGATATAATGTTGATTCTAAATTGTTCAAATAATGACCCCCGGGGGATGGGTGGGGCCACAATGGGGAATCAAAGTTTTATATAGAAATATATAGGAAAAATCTTTGAAAATCTTCTTCTCAAGAACCACTGGGCCAGAAAAGCTGAAACTTATACGGAAGCATCCTGGTATAGTGTAGATTCTAAATTGTTCAAATCATGACCCCCGGGGGAAGGGCGGAGCCACAATGGGGAATCAAAGTTTTACATAGAAATATATAGGAAAAATTTTTGAAAATCTTCTTCTCAAGAACCACTGGGCCAGAAAAGCTGAAACTGATATGGAAGCATTCTGATATAATGTAGATTCTAAATTGTTCAAATCATGACCCCCGGGGGAAGGGCGGAGCCACAATGGGGAATCAAAGTTTTACATAGAAATATATAGGAAAAATCTTTGAAAATCTTCTTCTCAAGAACCACTGGGCCAGAAAAGCTGAAACTTATGTGGACGCATCCTGATATAATGTTGATTCTAAATTGTTCAAATAATGACCCCAGGGGGATGGGTGGGGCCACAATGGGGAATCAAAGTTTTATATAGAAATATATAGGAAAAATCTTTGAAAATCTTCTTCTAAAGAACCACTGGGCCAGAAAAGCTGAAACTTATATGGAAGCATCCTGGTATAGTGTATATTCTAAATTGTTCAAATCATGACCCCCGGGGGAAGGGCGGGGCCACAATGGGGAATCAAAGTTTTACATGGAAATATATAGGAAAAATCTTTGAAAATCTTCTTTTCAAGAACCACTGGGCCAGAAAAGCTGAAACTGATATGGAAGCATCCTGATATAATGTAGATTCTAAATTGTTCAAATCATGACCCCCTGTCGATGGGTGGGGCCACAATGGGGAATCAAAGTTTTATATAGAAATATATAGGAAAAATCTTTGAAAATCTTCTTCTCAAGAACCACTGGGCCAGAAAAGCTGAATCGTATGTGGAAGCATCCTTGTATAGTGTAGATTCTAAATTGTTCAAAACATGACCCCCAGGGGAAGGGCCGGGCCACAATGGGGTATCAAAGTTTTACATAGAAATATATAGGAAAAATCTTTGAAAATCTTCTTCTCAAGAACCACTGGGCCAGAAAAGCTGAAACTTATGTGGAAGCATCCTGGTATAATGTAGATTCTAAATTGTTCAAATAATGACACCCGGGGGATGGGCGGGGCCACAATGGGGAATCAAAGTTTTATATAGAAATATATAGGAAAAATCTTTGAAAATTTTCTTCTCAAGAACCACTGGGCCAGAAAAAGTGAAGCTTATGTGGAAGCATTCTGGGGTAGTGTAAATTCTAAATTGTAGGAATCATGACCCCCGGAGGAAGGGCGGGGCCATTATAGGGAATCAAAGTTTTACATAGAAATATATAGGAAAAATCTTTGAAAATCTTCTTCTCAGGAACCACTGGGCCAAAAAAGCTGAAACATATGTGCCCATGGAAGGATCATGGGGTAGTGTAGATTTCAAAATGTCTAAATTATGATCAGTGGGGTAGGGTGGGGATGCATTATGTATAACAAGGGTGAAATCTGGTAAAGAACAGAATGGTCAAAGCTTCTCAGGTGAGCGATGTGGCCCATGGGCCTCTTGTTTGTTTGTGTGTTTCATTTATATATACTTCTCATATTATTTATGTTTCTGTAACTTATTGGGTAGGGTTATATTATCCAAAAAATGTTAATATCATACTTGTAGTCCATGTAGTAAGACTTTAACTGGGCCATGTAACGCTCAAAAACTGGGATGTCTCGTTTTGCAATTGCCCACTGCGCACCAATCTCAAGAATATCTCCTTCAAAAGAAAAACATGTTTTTAAGTAAAAATAAAGAAATAAAGTTTTAATATTTGACTTTTATGCACAAGATTGTAAATTTGTTGCAGAAAAATATAAGTAAATTCACCATAACCAAATATTTTTATTTATCTTTCTACTTAAAAAGACCTGTTTTAATACAACTTTGATGGGTAATTTTGATAAGTACATTGGTTGACCTCAGACTGGTCCCAAAAAGGAAATAACTCTTGTGAATGAGAAAGTTTATATATTTGAGATTAGGAATTTACATACTTGCAACTAGAAGTTCTTGTTTTGATGGTGAACTCTCATTCGTTGGCAAAAATGTCACTCCTGTTAGTGCAATCTAACAAAAAAAAAACATCATTGTAATAATACTAACTAATGCTATTGTTACATTTAATGATTTATAAATTGAACACCCTGAAATACATCAAATTCAAATATGAGAATTATCAACTATATATTTCTCAAGCTTCTCAGAAAACTAAGTAAAATTATACAGGTCCAGTACAATCTCTTGATTTAGCTATATAGCTTTATTAAGCTATTCAAAATAGCTTTATTTAGCTATTTATATACAGTTTTTCACAAAAATGTTTTTTGCTTAAAATAAACAAAAAGTTGCATGTATTTGACTCTTCATACATGTACTATGGACTATTAAAACAACAACCAAAATCAAAGATAGTTTTAACTTTGCAGCTTTTGAATACTTTTAAGCAAAAAGAGAATTTCTATTGTTAGACTAACTGTCCACTACCTTGGGTGCCTTAATTGAGGCAAGGAAAAGTATGATTGCTTCTCATTGTGCTGAATTGTTACCGATCAATTATCTTGTTGAACATACTGTAGATCACTTAATTTTCGCAACACCTTATTTTCGCGAGAGAGTCATTGACTCTTTATAAGCGAGGCATAATTTTCACGAATTGTTAATATTTCTCTATATTGTCTTAAGGAATACTATTATACGCGAGAATGAAATTTTTGCATACTCACTGTCTAATTACGCGAAAATAAAGTTCTAGCGAATAAAAAGTGATTTATAGTAATTGGTCTCCATTATAATATCATTGAAGAAGTAACTGTATCAATTGCTTTATATAGCCCCAAAACTCGTAGAACTTTGAGTACAAAGTCTCTCAAGGAGACGTAATTTGATGAGTGATTTTATACATGCATTATTTTAAGAAGAGTTCAAAGTTGTATATTATCACTGCACCAAGGTGCGCTTTTTTTGTACATACCAGGTCCAGTCCAAAGACTATTTCTACCTACGTAGCTATTAATAGCTACCTAGGTATTTAAAGCTACCCAAAGTAGCTATTTCTACCTACTTTTTATATTTTCTGCATTTTGTGTCCAAAAGACCAAACAGCGCAACATGGTGAATACCATATTTTTTGATACGGTTACACTAATGATGAATACGACAAAATTTTGGCCAAAAAATGATTACTTCCTGAATCGGCAATTTTGCATTAGTTTCTATGCAAAATTGATAATATATGAAGTAATCATTTTTTGGCCAAATTTTTGTCATATCCATAATCATGATAATCATGTGACTGTATTAAAAAATTTTGTGCTCACCATGTTGCGCCGTTCCTGCATTTGGCCACAAGGCACAAAATGCAAGTAAAGTAGAAAGTAGGTAAAAATAGCTACTTTGGGTAGCTTTAAATACCTAGGTAGCTATTAATAGCTATGTAGGTAGAAATAGTCTTTGGACTGGACCTGCATACTGAGAAAATTACACCTTTAAGAAAAAAGTGCAGTAAAATAGCCAAATTAAGCTATACTGAATAGCTTAATAAAGCTATATAGCTATTTCAAGCTGTATAGCTAAATCAAGAGATTGTACTGCATACTGGACCTGTTATACTTAATTATTTGTTAGAACTATTTAAATAAAAAAAATCATATAGGCTAGACAAATTTAAAAGAATTAATTACATTTTAAATGTCCACACAGGGACCTATATACTATATATAAATTAAAATATAGGCCCCTGGTCCACATAAAAGATAATAAAATTAAAGAGAAAATTCGAGCCACAATAACAATGATAAAGCCTTTTTCTGAATGCGATAGTTTTCGTCAAATACTACTCGTAAATTCATGAAATAAAATCCAGATGAAAAGAACACCTTCAATTTTGTCAGAAATTCTCCGCATCTGTCTAAATTCGGTGGTTTCTTGTCCCATTCTCTTTTCAAACTCTGGTACATAATCACGATTTCTTTGAGCGATGCCATGTTTTTCTATTCTGCAGTTAATAAAATCTTCATTCTGATTCGCTGAAATTAGTTGCACTCGCGCAAAGCTTACTTCCTCTGCCGGTTGTGCAAGAGGAATAAGCATGGAAAATGATATTCTTGATACTCTGGAAGATGTAGGGTGTGTAATTTTCAGCATAATTAGTACATGTAATTGTAAATTGTCTGTGCAAATTTCGAGTTCGGATTCAGTGATTGTCTGTCTGTTAATAATGATTTTATTTTACTGCAGATTTTGAAGATGAGTTCCTCAGTTAGGGTAGTCATCAATATTCTTTTTAGCTCACCTGAGCCGAAGGTTTCCTTATCACATTTTGTCTGTCGTCTGTTTGTCTGTCCGTCTGTAAACTTCTTGCATTTTTGACTTCTTTTCAAGCACCACTGGGCCAATTTCAACGAAACTTGCCACAAAATATCATTGGGTGATGAAGGGCCACACCCTCTTCCAAGGGGAGATAATTTATAATTAGTAAAAATTAATGACACCTTTAAAAAAAAATCTTCTTGTCAAAACCCATTGGGCCAGGAAAGATTAAATTAGCTGGAAGGATCCTCAGGTAGTGTAGATTCAATTAAGTTTGTTCAAACCATGACCCCCGGGGTAGGGCGGGGCCACAGTAGGGAATCAAAATTTTACATATTAGGAATATATTGGAAAAATATTTAAAAATCTTCTTCTCAAGAACCTTTTGGCCAGGAAGGATAAAACTTAGGTGGAAGCATCCTCAGGTAGTGTAGAATCTAGTTTGTTCAAATCATGACCCCTGGGATGGGGATTGGGGGTAGGGCGGGGCAAAATAAATGATCAACAAGTTTTTTTATTGAAAAAATCCTCTATAAGTCAGAGAAGCCATGTTTAGTTATATTAAAATGGAAGTATCATTAGGTAGTGTACATTCACATTTGTTCAAATCTTGATTCCAGGGGGTAGTGAGGGGGCTAAAATAGGCACAAAGAAATATATACAAAAAAAATCTGTTCAAGAACAGGAAAGCCATTGTTATTGATATGGAAGAATTCTCACGTACCTGAAAATTCAAGCCCTACTTTTCAAAACTAAACTGATTTGTGCTTTTTTCAAGCCAGTATGCTCAGGTGAGCGATGTGGCCCATGGGCCTCTTGTTTTAATCACTGATATCAAGTACTTAAAAATCCCTTGTTGTTATTTTCGATTCCAGTGTAGTTGCATGTTCTTTATTTTTGGATTTTTTATTTTGAAGGTACACTGGACCGCTTCTAGATCCATCTGCTTTATCTGAAGCTGTGAATCAGGGACCAGCATCAACAGAGTTCACACAGCTGGTGTCATGGCTAACCGACAGGCTGAAGAGCTTCTATGGCTTAGAAGAAAGCATCAATGCAACTCACTGTAAGATCAATTGTCTGTTTATTTTTCTTAAATTTATTGTTTTGTGAGCAAATTTGCATATTTTTTTGTGAGAGGTTGATCAAGGAATAGAAAGTTTTATTAATTATTAATTTTAAAGATTTATTCTAATTGTTTTGTTGAATATGAGCATACAGTACATGCCCCAAAAAGTTACATGAGATCTCATTTAGGCACACATTGCATTGTATATTGAATACAAGGACTGTAATTAATTTGATTTTCTTACTTTACAGCCCCTGATGATGTTGCCAATTTTGTTATGGAACTCAGTGGTTTTCTAAGGGAATTAAGTAAGTCTTTTTTTAATTTCTTTACTTTGATATTTAGGGAAGAAGTTTCATGTACCTGTATTGGCGTGTACAAATAGGTTATATAACTAGAGCCGAGCTCATTGCAAAGCAACGAGTAGGTCTTCCGTCCTGTTTGACCGGAAGTAACTTTCATTTTAAAAAAAAAGAGTAATGAAGTCCAAAAATGGGTTAATCCTCCAAATCTATGTTAAGTATAGCAAAATTAAGCCATTCTTTAGTACTTCAGGTTTGACTGGAAGTGACGACGACGGACGGAAAATTAATATTTAAGCTTCTAGTGACACATGTTACCCAAAAACCTGTCAAAAACGGCAAAAATATGCATTTTCTGACTACTTCCGGTTCGACCGGAAGTGACGTCGCCGGACGTATTTTGACGACTCCATTAGATAAAGCTTGATATTTTGAACAACTTTGCTTCTTTGATGCATAACAAATTCTCAATACTTTTTGAGATATCTGGAAAAAACTTTTGGCCCCTCTAGGTCCCTTAATTTAGGGGTCAGCCCTTTTTTCGACATATCATTTGAAAGATCTTCTAATTCTGCACAAATTATGTTCTATATATTTTAACAAAATATTTTTAGTTTAGAAGATAAAAAGAAAAATATGAGTAATTTTTGGTTGTTTTAAGCGTTCTAATTTTTGACCCCTATATAGCGCCATTTTGAATACAGAAATCGAAAAACAAAAACTGATGTGCACAACTTCAATCCTTCTATTATCTAAAATCAGTAGAATTTCTGCTCCAGCTTTAGCCGTCTCTGAGTCTTTGTCTGGAAACGAAAGCCTATAAATTTTCCTTTAAAGGGAAATAACTCAAAACCGGAAGTGGCTTTTTGAAATTTTAGACATTATTCTGATAGAGTTTATTAACGTCTATAACGTCTGAAAATTTGAGCGAAATCCATTGAGAAATGAGCGAGATATGAGGCCTCAAAGTTGCGGTTAGGAAGCAGAAGAAAAAAAAAGAATAATAATCTTTACCAACAGAATCAGTACAAGGTCTTCCATTGGAAACGGAAGACCTTAATTATCAAGAGAAAAGTGATGAATGATACATCTATAGTAGGATTGTTTAAAGTACTTCAGTATCATCAAAAGTTTATGGTCTGGATGTTTACAATTTCGTTCAATTAAAAGTTTAGAAGATATATTTTTGAATTAACAATAGCATTTCTTTTAAGCCACATTATCAGAGTTAGACTTTTTGGTAAAATTGCTTGCCTAATCAGGCTAATGTCAAGTTTCTCAGAATGATAAAATATTGGTAATTAATTCTTAGGACTGAATTTTAGGCCAACAATAAAAAATGATTTGTTTTCCCAACCCAATCATTTTTTCAGCACTTTGAATTTTTGATTTTTAATTAATACTTAATTTTAATCAGAAATATTCTTAACAGGGATGGGGTAATTGAATAAAGTAATTGTAATTGAGTGTAATTAATTACATTTTTCAAAGAAATTGGAAGTAATTTGTATTTGAGCAAGCCTTCAATTACAAGTATTTGAATGTATTTAAATACATTTCAAAAAAGGTCATGTATTTTCAATTACTTTTCAATTACTTTTTTTCAAAATGAAAGTTTATATTTAAAAAGGTGTCTTATACTGATACATATATAGTTTTATAATGGTGGATTTATATTACTTATTCCCATGTTTGATCAAGTTCTCCCTATTCCCACTTGCAAATAACAAAGATTGTTTATAGTTAATTTGTTTTACAGCAATTAGACTAACTACATCCCCATTTAGATTTACCTGTATTCTATTCATTTTAAGGTAAAGGTCTAATTTTGACTAGTTGTGAACCCCTATTATACCCAAGAACAAAAACACTGAATGAAAGTTCGTTTTGGATCGCTATAGAAAAAATCTTATTAAAAAAAAATCTTTATTTTTTTTTTATAAAAATAAAACTTGAAGTAATTGAAATCATTTAATGTATTTAATTACATTTGTCAAAGTAACTGAAAGTAATTAATTACTTTTGAAAAAATCAATGTAATTGTAATTGCAAGTAATTGACAAAATTATCAATGTATTTGAAAGTAATTAATTACATTTCAAAGTAATTGACCCCAAGCCTGATTCTTAATAATGGCCTTAAGCCTACCTTAAAATTACTATGTTGGACTTGGAGGTCAATCATTTAGAATTTCTATAATAAGCTTCAGTATCATGGTTTTATTAATGATACATTTGACTGGTTATTTTTGACTGTAGATTGTCCATACAAACACCTATATGAGGGAGGACCTGTCACAGAGAGACTGAACAATAAGGAGAGTGCTCTACAACTGTTAGGTAGACACCAAATGTGTTTTATTTCATAGGTATTTCCAGCAAGCAGTCTGACAAATAAAAAACAAAACAAATAATTTATGAACTTCAGAATAATGAAAACTACCATGTAAGTCAGAACAGTATAAGGGTAAGTCTTTTTCAGGCTTTAGCATCAGTCAGATTATTGATGTTTACTTTATTGGACTGTGCAAAATAGCTGGGGTTAGGCTAGGGTCTCTATCTTATTTTAATATTTTCCCCCTGAATCCCATCTAATTCTATGCTTAAATGCTATATATTAAGTCTTTGTGAAAAATTATGTGAAGGTTTTTCATTGTGTCAGTGTTAATTTCTTGCAAGAAAATTATCATGCTGTCAACAACAACAAAAAAATGGAGATGAAATACTAAGTAGGAATTTGCCTTTACACTAGCTTCTATTCATGAGCTATCTGTCACGAGTTTTGTTTAATTGTTACAGACTACTTGACATCAGAGCTAGAGACAGCTCATATCCTGGCAGTCAGAAAACCACAGGAGTTGAGATCTGCAACATCAGAAGCCGAACCTGACACGGTATGTTATCATCAATCAAAGCTTCTAAAAGTGGACAGCCTTCAGTTTTCCTACCGTTTTGCATCCTATACAAATATAATTCCCATTTCTTTCACCTACTGGAAAAAGAATTTGACCTTTTATTACAATTGTTCAAAAAAAGAACATAGTGTCTTTTGTGTTATTGCAGAATGAGTCGGACATTGCAAAGCATCTGAAGATCATGTTGATAGCTCTAGGATTCCCGAAGCCTCCAGCAAACATCACGGCATTCCAGCTCTTCAGTAAAGTGGAAACAAAGGTTGCTATTATCAATCTATTCATTATGTGAAAGAAAATGCCATGTGTCAGTGTATATGATACTTTTAATTATAAACATCAGTTTGTTATTTTTGGCTACTTAAATACTTTCAATTTATATATTACATTGTACTGGTGAAAAAAAAATCTTCAAATGATATTGAATAAAAAAAATGTTTGTTGTTTGATAGTATCAGATATACATGTATAAAACAGATTATTTTCAGACTATTAAATTTGCCATTAACTTGTTTAACCCTCTGCTAGGTGAATGAACTAATGTCTAAGAACCCTGGAGTGGTAAGTAAGCCCCTGTTGAAGGCTCGTCTCTCAGACAAACAGTGGGAGCAGATCATGAAAATCAACGACAGCCTGGTCAGGGAGTACACCACCAGACGCGAGATGATCCTCAAACGACTAGACGTCACCATACAGTCATTCATGTGGTCAGAGGCAGCAAAGGTAACGTTAGGATGTGGTTATAGGTTAAAGGGTGGAGGTTAGGATGTTTCAAATTGTTTAATAAAGAGGGAAACTATGATAATTTTTCTCCAGAGCACTGAAAACTTTGAATGGAAAAAGTAATCTTGCAAATCTCTAACAGTTCAGATAACAATACACATTGGGGTGAGGCTGAAGGGGATGTGATATTGAAACACACCTTCAAAAGTTTCTTTTCTTCTGCATTTTTTCTGATTATTTAAGGACAGATTATTTTATACTTTTTGAGAAAACGAAAAAGGTGTGTTTTGATTTCTAGAAAAAAGAGAATGAAATAGCTGCTGTGTTCCATCCAATCAGAAAGCGGCTGAAGGCTTCTTGTGCTATAAACGTTGCAGACATCTTAGCTGCCAGGGAAGGTTTGTAGCACTAACTTTAATCCACTATTCTTATTTGCAGGATAATTACAATTCTTTTGCTTAGATACATGTATTGCTTGTTTTTAGATTTAACCTTTTTACAAAAGACAAGTAGCGGTGAGGCCAGAATGAAGTGTGCAATAAACAAAGTGAAAATTCCTAAGGTAAATCACTTTATTTTATTAAAAACTTTGAAATACAAATATGTATTTTTTCTATCGCCCATTTCTTATGTCATCCTAGGCAATTCAACAAGTTGACCTATTGTTAATCATTTCACCTTGTTTCATTAAAAAATTCGGAACATTTTCAGTTTCTCTCTGAAATTACTACCAATGTCTACTACCCCAGCTTTTAAATGATTTCAGGCTCTAGGCTAAAACTTATTTGTAGTCGTAGGTTAAAAATTAATAATATCATTAAAACTCTTTTTTTTTCTCATGAAGATACTAGAGACCTATCTGCATATTGGCATTACATAATGATAATAATGAAGAAAGTGATCTTTGCCAAAATTGAAAAAGGTCAATTTCATCTCAAGCTCAAGTTTCAGCCTTTAGATGATGCTTAAGAGTTTCGGTTTCAGACGAAGGTAAGTTGGTTATATGATACGTTGAGAAACTCATGATATGCAGGTGACTGTCAGGGTATATAAACTTAATTACAGGTCCCAGACAGGGGAGGGAGAGTGTGGGAGCAGGAACCACCCCCTCCAGAAATGCCCTCCTTTATGAAGCGAGTGGATCAACCTCAAGCTCAAAGACAACACTGTTAGTAGACGTCTTGATTTTGTTGAAAATTTTTATTATGTTTTTTTCTTAGTTTGTACTTTGATAGTTAAGGCGAAAGGGCTTTTATATGAAGTTCATAGTAAATTTTGGGATTAATCAGACACAATGTCATTTTTATGAAACAATATATATTTATTGATTTAATTTGTTTTTTTTAAACAAATAACTAGCAATACATTTTTTCTTCTATTAGCTGGCAGAGGTGGTCGAGGTGGAGGGAGGCACCAGGACAGGGGTGGGAAAGTCCAGGGAGGCTGGGGGGATAAACAACAACAGAGCTATGGAGGGAACTGGAATCAGGGCGGGGGAGGATATGGAGGGGGAGGAGGGCGAGGGAGGGATCACTACCAGGACGGGGGTTATCAAGGAGGATATCAGGGAGGCGGGAATCAAGGAGGATATCAAAATGGGGGATACCAAGGTAAGAACTGTCAACAGTATCTGATATGACTACTTCAGTGGAAGTCTATGTAATAGAGAAGGAAATGGCCAACTGAGGATGAATTACATTGTTATTCTTTGGGGTACCTTTCTCTTATCCGCCTCTCCTCCTATACAACTGAATAAAATTTAATGATATTGTCACAGTTTATGCCATTTTGCACCTCCTATGTTCCTCTTTGATCTGACACCTATTTCAGGTCTCCCAGAGCCAAACATGGACTTTGCCATTGTAATCATTATGATCATATGGGAGGCGAGGGATATCATTTAGTGTGCTCAGTGCTCACAGTACTTCTAGATAGAATTAAAATGATAACATTTTCAGTTGATAATAAAACACCTGCATTGATTTGTTTACAGGTGGTGGAGGAGGTCGAGGTAGAGGTCGGCCAGGAAGTGGACGTGGCAGGGGGAGGGGCCAGTATTAGTGGTGTGCTGTTTACCTCTTCCAATTACATTTGTATTACAATGCTAAACACTTGGAAAGAATTGGTGCCAACTCTAAGACAGAATTGAAAAATCATAGCAAAAATGTTTGTCTATTCTGTTACTTGTCTATTGCTTTTATTTAGTTGTTATAATAAACCATTATTGGATTACATGTGTTTGAATCATTTTATTGCCTACTTTATTTAAGATGTTGATATTGGGCTATACCATTGATATATTTTAAAATTCATGCACATGAATAATGGTGTGTTGGACATGATGCCTAATGTGTAGAGAGATTGGCTTTTGATTTTACTAGAATTTCTTTTTAAAAAATTAAGACAAGTCATGTCAAGGTACATGATGAAACCTTCACTTCTTTAACATATTTAAATATATAGAGTTGAATTGAGTTGTTAAATATAAGAAACAATAGCTTCATCATGAAAATTTCCTATTTTTTAAAACATGATGAATGCATAGTTCACTGTAACAGATTGTTTAGGAGTCCTTCATTGCTCTTGCTTTCCATACAAAATCTACAGCATTTGCATGTATAGTCAGCCAAATTGTTAGCAGTCTGTTTTCAGTTGGAACATTATGTGACCCATGACACTTAATGCCAGGAGTGCCAGTCCATTAAATTGACAAAGCCAACAACAGGCTACAGGCAGTGGCATTAAGAGCACTTGGCATTGAAAGGGATGCAGGGTCAGGAAAGGATAGTTGCCATGGATACAGGGAACAACACCGTGAAAATGAGGCTTTTAGGGTTAAAGAGGTTTTATTTCAAGGATGTGACTAAGGACATGTGGCTTTACACAGAAACACAAAAAAATATTTCATGGAGATATTGATTTTCCTTTCGTGGTGAGTAAAGTAAACTATAGTGTTATTGTACAGGTAAATTAGATCAGACAAATACATTGTTTGGTTTAAAAAAAAGCATGGAGAAATGACCCACTTTACCCGAAAAAACAATTTTAATGCTAGGACACCTGGATTACTTACTATATATTTTGTAGACACATCTTCACTCCATTAACCAGCTCAGATACGTTTTCAAGAAAAAAAGGTTAACGCCATGTGAAATCAAATTTGTATTTTACAAATTGTCCTAATTGAAACTTCATAAGGGGAATAAAGATTGCTTTAAATTCGTTAATTTTCAATATCTCAAATAAAAAATACATATGCTATGACATTTCTTTTATTCAAAATTTCAAATTTTATTTGAAGCCGAACACCTGAATTACGCTGACTTCTAACCCTTAGTATCGCTAAGCAACTTTCGGACAGTTCCAACGAGTTGTGTAAGTCTGGATGTATAGGTATGGCACGCCAAATTCACAAAAATGAGCTAATCATAGTTTCACAATCGATAAACTAGGTTTATCGGTTGTAAACTATAGTTTATCGGTTGTAAACTATAGTTTACGGACTGTAAACTATAGTTAACAACGTTAATCTATATTTTACATCTGTAAACCATAGTTAACGTGATAATCCATGTTTCACAACCGTAAACTATATTTAACACCGAAAACAATCATTTGCGATTGCAAAACATAGATTATCTGATAAATACAGTTTCACGATTGTAAACTACAGTTTACAACTTTTAACTATAGTTAACTGTTACCTGATAAATATGGCATGCCAAATTCACAAAAATGAGATAAACCTAGTTTCACAATTGATAAACTAGGTTTATCGACTGTAAACTATAGTTTACAAACCGTAAACTATAGTTAACGATTCGTTAAGTATAGTTTTCATCTGTAAAACTATATTTAACGGTTGTTAACTATAGTTTACGAATGATAATCTAAGTTTATCTGTCTGTAATAAGCGTTAACAATAGATTTTGTCGATAAACATAGATTCACGTTTGTAAACTATAGTTTACAATCATAAACTATAGTTAGGAGTTGTTAATCATAGTTTCACAAATTGTGAAACTATATTTACCAGATCGTTAACTATAGTTAACGGTTTGTAAACTATAGTTTACAAATCGTGAAACTGTATTTATCAGATAATCTATGTTTTGCAATCGCAAATAATTGTTTTCGGTGTTAAGTATAGTTTACGGTTGTGAAACATAGATTATCGCGTTAACTATGGTTTACAGATGTGAAATATAGATTAACGTTGTTAACTATAGTTTACGATTTGTAAACTATAGTTTACAACCGATAAACCTAGTTTATCGATTGTGAAACTATGATTAGCTCATTTTTTGTGAATTTGGCGTGCCATAGATAAATATAGTTTCGATTTGTGAAACTATGATTAACAACTCTTAACTGTAGTTAACTGTTAACGGATAAATATAGTTTCGATTTGTGAAACTATGATTAACAACTCTTAACTATAGTTTACGATTGTAAATTATAGTTTACAAAATCTATTGTTAACGCTTTATTACAGACAGATAAACTTAGATTAGCATTCGTAAACTATAGTTAACAACCGTTAAATATAGTTTTAAAGATGAAAACTATAGTTAACGAATTGTTAACTATTTACGGTAACGTACGGAACTTAGTTTATCAACTGTGAAACTATGTTCAGCTCATTTTTGTGAATTTGGCGTGCCATATATACGTAGGTTCTCAGTTCAGAACAAAATCCTCATTTTAAGCCAGATATTAAAGATAGGGACGGTTAAGATGCAGTAGCCTCTACTGGCTTGGTAGTTCCTGATCTGCCAATAAATCTAGTGCCAGATTCTTCAAGGAGACACTGTGATCTGTAATCATCCAATTTAAAGGAACAACAAGAAGAAACCAACATTTTTTTTTCTTTTCATATTTGATTTCAGTCAAAAATAACAAATGTTTATAAATTATTTTTAGTATTTATTTAACATGTTCATAAAACCTATATGTGTTTTCACTATTTTGTGAAACGTGGTATGATACTTTTTCCTGTAGGTAAGAAAGCAAATGGTGAGCAGCCATAAAGTTTCATTGAAAATTTATATATCTGTGGTTTATGACTTCAAACTTTGAACAATAACTTCCTGAATACACAGGCATTTAAAACGACCATGCCATCTCAGATCACAGGAGTAGAGCTGGGGATGACACCGGATGGGACAATAGCTGTCACATGTGTCTCTGTTAGCAAAACATTGAGAGCTCCCACAATCCTCTGATTCTGTCAACAGCAAAACGCATAAAAGCTTCCGTTAAATTAATTCATGTTATTTACAGTTCATTTTATTTACGATGATAAACATTTTTCATGATAGTTGATAGGCGTTTTATCATAAAATGCAAGAAATTGCCGTAGTACTTATTTTCCCCTTTTTAAAAAGCAGTTTTGAGCACGATTGTGAAATATGGTTTTATATTTTAAACACAATGCAGAAAGTAGCATAGTTACTGATGTTATTACCCGTCAGAGTAGCTCTGTGATTGGCTAGAGCGGGTACAGGTAAAGGTGTGGAACTCGTTGTTCGTATTGTTGTTGTTGTTGTTGTTTCTGATCGGTCATAACCACACCAGCACATGTGAATACGTATAAAAGGGTCATAATTACAGAAGCCCCGCCCACTGTGTTCCCCACAGATCTGATCACAGGAACGGAGACATACCGCATCATCATTAAAACACATCCCAGCATTGCATATCTCTGTATACCAGTCAGCAGCCGTGAAACTGAATTCTAAAATTACAAGGACGAAGTCTTTTATGTCTTTTGATCATTAAAAATACAATTAAAATGAAGATTTAGAGGTTGATGAATAAAGGAATCTCATGTGTTCAAAATTACTTTTTGAAAGGGTAATTTACAGTAGCAAAAGAAACTTTAACTGGAAACAAGAATTGTTTTAACCCTGTGAAACACCAATGTCCCCGTATAACAGCTAATTTTATAAATGGCGAAGGTTAAGGTCTATCGATTTGCAAATCAAAGTAATGCCAAGAGATAATAAATGTTGGTACCCAAAGAAAGTTCTTGTCACAAAGAATACACCTGTGACGTATGAAAGTAGTTTCACCAATTATAAATTCAGAAATTATGGTTAAGATGGAAGTTTTTCAAAATAGGTTTATCGCCAATGTTCACCTAATGGAATTAAAAAGATCTGGCCAAAGTTTAAGTTTTTGCAATAGTGGGTCAACCTCAAAGGTCAAGATCAAAGGATTGAAATGTTGATAACCAAGGAAGGAACACATGTATATGTGAAATATGCAAACCCTAACTCTAACCAATCAAACCTATGACCAAGATTATTTTTTCCAAAAGTAGATCAAATTCAAAGGGCAGGTAAATATATGTATACCCGAGGAAGGCTTCTTCACAAAGAATGCACACGTAAGTATGAAGCCTTCCTTAGCACCAAACTTTCAAAAGTTATGCTTAAAGTTAAAGTTTTTCAAAAATAAGCCAAGATAAATTGTTGGTACCCAAGAAAAGGTCTAATCACAAAATATACATGTGGGATGTATGAAAACCCTCTCACGAACTGATAAAAAGTTATGGCCAAGGTTTAAGTTTCGTAAAATTTTGCAAGAATGGTTCAAACTCTAAGATCAAGAAGTCACATATATAGGTACATAAGAAAATGTGAAACGAGAATGTGCACGTCAAATATGAAAGCCCTTGATCTTAACAATCAAAAGTTGGGGCCTAGGTTAAACTTTAATTTTCGGAAAAAACAGACAGAGCAAAAACTATTTACACAAACTCGTCAATTAAAGAAGCATGAAATATTTTATTCAGATTAAATCATACTGCACATTCCATATATTTTTTTATGCTTACCTGAAAGGATGAAAAAGACAATAGGCAACTTTCCAAAAACGTTAAACCGGTACGTAAAAAGCATTTCTACCAACTAGAAATATCAAAATACACAACTGTACATAAATAATGAAAAAATAAAAAGAAAATAATAAATTAAAAATTAAAACCCAGTAAGTATGTGTTTTGCTTTTTTCCATAACGATTTTTCTATATCGAAAAGTTTCTGTATAATTTACAGGTTCTTGAAATTATGAAAATGACACGAAAATTTTTTTAATCTACCAATCTATCAACATAAATGTAAGAAATACATGAAGATACAATAAAATGAAAAGGAATAAATGTTTGTTTGTTCTAGTGAAGCATACAGCCCAATTTTATCTTACCTTATTCATTTCATTGAGAGGCAAATCTACTTCTGTCCAGGAGGCTTATATAATGGGGCAAATTTGTGGGAAAATGATATTGTGTTGATATACATATATATGTCCATTCAGTGGGTTGAATTCAATTGGTGGCATTGTTTTGGCAAAAAATTTCACAACATTCAAAACAGTCTAGCCTATGGTATGAATTGTTGGCATTTCTGTTTATTAAACAAAGGTTAATTACTCACTGTCTCCTGCCGCTAAATATACTGACACATTTATGGGAATCTGTGTCGATTTTGCTCTAAATATTCACAGTGCTGATAGAATTTTGATGATAACAATTCTAGCAAAACGGTATCAAAAACGATTTACAGTTTTAGAAAAAGATGAAACTGGAACTACACACAAGACTTTTGGAGATGCCTAATACAAATGTAAATAAAATTCAATAAAAATAATATTTTTTCTACGTATCCTACTAAAATAGTTGCCCTCTCATGAATGAATAGCTTAGCAACTTTAAGCCTGCTCAAGCCATAAAATTGGAGAAAAATGGGGGAAATGCTTATATCCTTGAAAAAGGCATAAGAAATTATATGAATTTTTGTTTCTGAAAAGTTTCTGCATGGGAACATTTTTAGGGTCTATTTTTACATTCTGCACAATTGAATTTCCCTAACAGGATGTAAAGTTCTACAAAAATAAGGAACATATGGAGATAAAGAAAAGAATTCAAGCTCAAAAATCCATTCAAATAATAACAAATCGGGAGCAGAGCAAACAATGACTTCTGAAACATCAGAGGTGGGATCAGGTGCCATGGAAAAGTAAGCATCCCCTTTCGTCCGGTTGCACCCACCGTATATCACCGGCCCGTCATGATCAGGGAATACAGGAAAATTCTGTAGACAATTATTCAGTGTGTAAATAATGGCCTAACGATTAGTATGAAAAACATCAGTCAGTATTTGACTGCAATAATAGATTGCATTTGCTGAATTGTGTCGACCTTAGAACTTAAAAACTGATGAATTTAAATAAAACTGTTGATATTCTTGCTTCATATTTCATCAACTTTATTGCTAATAACTCACCTGCTTTTTGAAAGAAATGGTTCATACATATATAACATGCTTTTGCGTATCGAATCAACGTAGAGATTAACCCCAGAATTATGCGGATGATAAGGGTATATTGCTGAATAAGTAAGGGACGTCGACTATTGAAAAGTAGAAGTCATTACGATTATCATAAAGCCTTATTGTTACTAGGTTACCATAAGTAACCTAATCTTTTCTAGTAAAATATCCAAAAACTAGAGGTACTGTGAGCAATGAGCTCACTAAATGATACCCCCCGCCTCCCATATGATTATAATGGCAAAGTCCATGTTTTGCGGTGGCCAGGAAACCCAAAATATTTGTCGGATCAAAAAATAAAATAGGAGGTGCACAATGGCAATATGTAATAAAGATTCTGTGAAAGTTTCATTAAATTTCACTCAGTGGTTTAAGAGGAGTTGAGGATAAGAGATGGGTACCCCAAAGCGTAACAGACGGACGGACAGACGGACGGACGGACGTACAGACGGACAGACGGACGGAATTAACGATTACTATATACCCTCCCGCTTTTCAAGCGGGGGGTATAATGAAAGAGACGCGTCAGACGGCTGTGGTATCTTTAATTTCAAGCTCACAGAGATACGAGGGGTGATCAAAAAGTTCGCAAACTAATTGAATAGCTTCCATACAAGAAACAATATTTGGTTTTAATGTTGATTATATTTTAACTTAATCCTCCCCGATTTTAATGCACATCAACCACCGTTCTGCGCATGCGCGAATAACGTGATATTGGCGGTCACGTGACCCCCTCCGTAGCGTTCTGTCACAAAAGTTAAAAGATTTTTCCGAGTTTTATATTTCTTTCCATGTGAGTTATTTTTTATGACAAGAACAGTTAATTTGTCAGAAATGGTCATATCTCGGCAACAGAATGGGTGGATAATAACATCCTTTCCAAAAATAAGCATGGCAACCATTAAAACACAAATCTTCTGTCTCAGGAGAGACCTTTGTTCAAGGTGGATAGAGAATGGGTGCATCCTTTTTATCATATCTAATCTAATATGTTTAAAATCTAAAGTAAACGATGTCTTAGGTATTTAATACTTATATCATTGTTCACATATTCAACTACTTTTCAAAGTGCTAATTGGAGGTCTTTGATAGCAAATTGCTTAATTAAAAATACATATCTTTTCAAACTTGCTTTCACTGGGAAAGATGGCAAGTATCATTTTTAACCACCAGCCTTCCTTCACTAAAACGATTAATCCAATCATTAAATTGAATTTATAGGAACTCATTTATCTCAATAAACTGTGTACAAATTATTATATGATACTGTAGAGTAGTCTCGTTTTCCCCAGACTCTCGCTGTTGAGACTTTGCCCGAGTCTCGTTTTCCCCAGACTCTCGCTCTCGAGACTTTGCCCTTCGCTCGGACAAAGTCTCAAGAGCGAGAGTCTGGGGAAAACGAAACTAACTGTAGAGGGATTTCTAAGATATTACAATAAATTGTACAGTCGTCTGTTGAACGAGTTCGACTGAGACAACCATTTTTCGTCACAAGTGACCTAAATAGTGACGTCATTTTCACATTGTGACGTCACAAACAAGGAGAGAAACTTTATTCAGCATATGCTATTTATAAACCTTGTGTATGGCTATGTGTGTACCGAATTTCATTCTAATGTGGTTTTGTAGATATAGAGATAGTTTGCTAACTTTTTGATCACCCCTCGTATATCTTGTTGACATATGAATGGAAATAATTATTGTTAATACATGTAGTTGTTAATAGATAATACCTCGTCGATATCTCTAAATGTCGAGTTGAAGGCCACAGCAAATATTTTTTTCTTCTATTTTTTCTTTGTATTAAATTCAAATCACTTTGCTATATATGAGTACAAAAAAGGTCTGATAATAATAAAGGGTCGAAATTGGTACTGATGGGAATTCAAACAGATTGTTGGAAAACCTGATCTCCAAAAAATGCATAGATTTTGTCAATCAGAAACTCAAAGTATTTTGATATCGACTTCACAGTACTTGTGTGTGCAATCAGAATGTTTTTTAAACTCATAAAATCATCATCACAGTGTGATGAATATCCTTTATAAAAAGAATCTTCTATGTACATAATAAAGAATAGCAATCAAATCTTTATATCCATATTAGAATTTTTTTATTTGCTTCAATATACATGTATACATTTAATAATTTTACAAATTCAGTCATATTCAGTCATATTTATTTTTAAAAAAGCACCTGTCAATGATGTCAGAGAGACTAGATTCTAATTAATTGTGGGAAATAGTTGAATATAGAGCTGAGAGGTCTTAGGTTTTGAGGATATTGATTTTTGTAAAATGTTATGACTTCAATTTTTCCAAAAGTTCCTTGGAATTTTAAAGTATGTACATCTTATTTACACCAATATATTATTGCACAGTGTTTCTGAAGTTTCTCCTTCAAGCTCATAAATGCATTAAAACAATACAAATCCGGAGCAGAGGAAACACGGACCTCCAAACCATCATAGGTGGGATCAAGTGCCGTGGAGGAGTGAGGATCCCATTTCGACCGATCACACCTGCCGTGTATTTCTTGTCATGCCCGAGAAAGCGGAAAAATCCTTTAACAATTCAGTGCGTAAATAATGGCCTAACAAATAGATAAAAAAAAAAAAAAAAAAAAAAAAATGAAGTGATCACTCAGCATTTGAATTTGGGTTGCATTTCTTGACATGGTACTGACCGCAGAACTTTCGAAATTGACTTAACCCCATAAGCAGGTTATAAGGGTATATTTCTGCTTAAATAAGGAAAATTGACAGTTGAGAAATTGAAGTCATGATGTTTAGTTCATAAAGTTTTATTGTTAGGTTACCATTAACACCTTCTTTATGTAATAGTTCCAAATATGAAACAGATGTGTCAAACTCTGTAATATCTCTTGTTTACGGTGATATATTGAGTCGATATATGAATGAAAGTAACTTATAAATGGATGAAATATGAAAATAAAGAAGAGTATTCAAGCTCAAAGTTTATTTAAACAATATAAATCTAGAGTAGAGCAAACAGGAATCTCCAAAAAAATGTCTGGATCAGGTGCCATGGAGGAGTTAGCATTCCCTGTCTTCAGGTCACACCAACAACGGAAAAATTCGGAGAAAGATTTAGTGTGTTAAATACTGGCTTTTACAGTGCAGTAAAAAAAAGGCATGCAATCAGTATTTGACTTGTATTGCTGGTAAGGGCATTGTATCGACCATAAAACCACGCGAAATGATGACTTTAAACGAATTTTCTAAAAGTTTTCAAATTTTCTAAAAGTTTCTTGGAGTTTTTATGTATCGGCATCTGATTTACACATCTCAAATATATTGTTTTACAGTTCTGAAATCTCTCCTTTACTACTGTCAATATTTTGGTGAGAAATAAAGAAAAGAGGCTTGCTAAGGCAATTATTGTAACCTACTATGTATTTTTGCTTGTAAACAAGCTTTCTTAAATGAAAAATGAAGTGAAATTAAAAATGAATAGTATTTAATAAAATGTCCCCATCTAACTTAATTTCGAATAAAAGAATTTAGGAAGATTTTTCTTCACATGTAGATGTTACAAACAAACTCTTTCATAAGAATATAAAAGGTTAGTTAGGAC